AACAGTCGAAATTGTAGTAATAGTTGTAGTAGTAGAAGTCTTCGAAATAGTAGTTGTAGTGGCAGTGCAGTACTAGTCGTAGTAGTTCAGTCGTAGTAGTAGTAGTAGTCGTCGTCGTATTAGTATTAGTAGTAGCCGTAATAGTAGTAGTAGTAGTAGTAGTAGTAGTAGTAGTAGTAGTAGTAGTAGGGGTTATAGTAGTAGTGGTAGTAGTAGTAGTAGTAGTAGCAATAGTAGTAGTAGCAGGACTACTACGACGAGTGGCAATAATACCAATAGCACTCGCAGTGGTAGTAATAAAAGTGACCGCAATGGTAGTTTATCAGTCGTAGTAGTAGTAGTAGTAGTAGTAGTGGTAGTAGTAGTAGTAGTACTAGTAGTAGTAGTAGTAGTAGTAGTAGTAGTGATAGTAGTAGTAGTTGTTACAGTAATAATAGTAATAGTAGTGTTAGTAATGGTACTCGTAGTAATCGTAATAGTATCAATATTCATAATAGTAGTAGTAGTAGTAGTAGTAGTAGTAGTAGTAGTAGTGGTAATAGTTGCCGTAATCGTTGTCGTAGCCGTCGTAGGTGTAGCAGCCGCCGTAGTAGTAGTAGTAGTAGTAGTAGTAGTAGTAGTAGTAGTAGTAGTAGTAGTAGTAGTAGTAGTAGTTGTGGTTGTAGTAGTAGTAGTAGTAGTAGTAGTAGTAGTAGTAGTAGTACGTAATTTTACGAGTACTAACAGTTGTTGGACTAGCCGTGGGAATTACACTAGGCGCAGGATGTATTCATGGTCGTCGTACTAGTAATGACAAGATGTGAGATGTACAAGACGCTTCTCAATATCAGAAGATCGCAATCTCGAAACGTAAGTTCCGCTGGCGGTTCTGAAGTTCGGACTCGCCGCCCCTTTCCCCCGCCGAACACTGTCTTGGCTTGGGATCATCAGCTCTCAAGTATCAAGGGGGGATGCGTTATTTTCCAGGGCACCCCGAAGGAGGCCCCCGAGAGGTGCTGCTCGTACGCACCCTGAACTTGCCTGCGAGTGCGGAGTCCGAGTCCTCTCGTCTGATGACTGTCCGAGGGAGGAAAAATCGAGCTTCAAGCGGCGATGCATCGCCGATGGATCTGACCTGGCACGATGTTTGCAACCAGACCCGCATCGAACTTGCAGCGCGCAGCGCCCCGTCAGAGGTCGCGTCTCCAGCAGACCAAAGAGTCGCCTCCCGGCGTGAGCCCCCGCCGACTGCCCCACCTCGCGCTTCGAGCGAGCAGACGCCGAGCACGGGCCGCGCGGCCCGCCCCCCCCCCCGAGGGGCAACGACTGGGGAGGGGGACAGGCACGGGGGGAACATGCAAACGTTGGCGGGCAGGCTGGGGCTATCGGGCACCTCTCGGCGATTCATGGGCGATTGGGGGTCGCCCCTGTGCCCATCCCCCCCCCCGATCGTTGCCCCGGACTCGGCGGCGAGCGCGGGGGGGAAGTGAGAAGGAGAAGGCCCTCTCAGAAGGCGGCGGGTTTTCTCAGCAGCCCTCGCGCCTTCTGACAACTTCTCGGCGCCCTCGGGGAAGGTTCAGAACTCCTTTCAAAAGGCCGAAACGACTTCCGAGCCTTCTGAGAAGGCACGCCTCTTCTCACTTCCCCCCTTGGCTCGCCGCTGACTGACCCATCCCCATTCGGCTCCACGCAAGAGTGACCCTAGGCAAGAGTGACCCTGGGTGCGCGGAAAAAGGGGGCGCAAAATTGCCGAATCCAAGCGCGCAAGCAGCCGCCATCGCACCGCGCTTAGCGATCGGAGGGGTCCCGAGGAGCCCGCACCAAAGGTCACTCTGCCGAAGGGTCACTCTTACTTGAGCAAGGACCGACCGTCCCAGCATTCCTACAGCCCTACCACGATTTTCCTAGAACCCTAAAATGTTCGAAGGACAACAACCATGTTCTTAGAGCATGTGCCAGCTGTGTTAAGACAAGACCGTCTCAGCCAAAGATGCTCTAAGAACATCTCGTGCAAACCACAAAGGGTACTTAGAACATTCTTTGGTGGGCCTACAGGCAGCCAGGACGCTTGGCCACTGCTTGATATCGCACCGCGTTCAGCGATCGGAGGGGTCCCGATGAGCCCTCCTACAGGCGGATTTTGAAGACAGAACTCTCAAACAATGCTCAAACATAATGGAAATAACAAGACTATGTCTGAACTGTTCTTTAATATTCCTCCTGTAGAGGGACATGCCCGACATAACCTTACACGTAACCGACCCATGGCCTCCGCTCGGGGATCTTCTGACACGGGTCAATCCAGACCCGGGTCAGTCGGGCCTTGCAGGATCCTGCAAGGTCCTGCAAGATCCTGCACCCGACCCCGGGCCAATGCGAAGGATCCTGCAGGATCCTGCAGGATCCTGCACCCACACCCGGGTCAGTGCGACCCTGGCCCTGCAGGATCCTGCAAGATCGGGCGCTCTGAGGCTCTAGCCGACCCCCGTTTGCACTGACCCCCCTCCCTTGAGCCCCGGTCCGCGGCCTCGCCGTCGTGACCGGCCAGCTCCGCGGTCAGGTCGACCACCGCGGCGGGGCCGGGCCGGCCCGCCCGGGCCCGCGCCCCGGCGACCGCCTCGGCGGCGGGGAGGCGCGGGGGAGGCGGGAGGAGGCCATGTCTTAGATCGGTCGGTGGCAGCTCAAAGGAGCCTCCAAAACCATCTTGTCGGCTCGTGCGAATCGACGCTTATCGACGCTCGTCGACGCCAATCGATGCGAAATCGACGCTCATCGACGCTAAACGACGTTGAGGATCGGCTCTATCTCATCGACTCCCACGCGCTCATCGACGCTAAAGTCGGAATTCAGACGGTATACGGTATACAAGGCTCCAATGATTCGCTCGCTACCGAAAGATCGGGGGGGGCGAAAGGGTAAGACGAAGCCAGGACGAGGATACCTTCGGGTGGGGACAAATCGAGACTCTCTGAGGTCCCGCGGCTGTGGAAGATGTCTCGGGCGCTGCGGCCTTCCCAAAGCGTTCCAGATCGGGGATCTTCTGACCCAGGTCAATCCCAACCCCGGTCAGCAGGAAACCCCAAAACTGAAATGCAGGAAAAAAAAAAAACTGCAACGCAGGTCTTCGCAAACGCGGGTCAACCAATATGCGCGGCCGCCCCGCGGCCACAAGCGGCTCGCTAACCCGGGTTAGCCAGAGGGGGTCTTCGCAGGATCCTGCAGGATCCTGTGCCCTGGCTGACCCCCGTTTGCATTGACCCCCGTCTCTTGAGCCCCGACCGGAACGCTATGAGAGCGTTCCGGAACGCTCTGGAACGGACTTATCCTCTCCCTAGCCCCGTCCGAATAGGGTCAGGTCGGGCGTGTCCCCCAACAGGCCGATGTTGGACGAAAAATAAAAAATAGTCACAACATAATCCAACAGAAACCAAACATAGAACGAAAAAATCGTCCCCAAATATTTTTTGACTATTTTTGAATATTCCTCCTGTAGAGGGACAGGCCCGACTTAGCCCTCCACTCCTGGAGAGGAGAAACCCGAGGACCATGACAACCGAACTGAACGCGGGAACTTCCGTGTCGATCCCTGTCGTCGTCAACCTTGGTTATCGATCGTCAGATCGTGGAGCCTCGTCGCGAATCAACGACAGCCAGCATGGACCATGACCATGATTGGCGTCGACAAGATCCCTGAACCTCTTGGTCGTGATTCGAGCAGGGGATCGACCACACAATTGATTCACCCCGAACTTGAATCCCCCCCTCGAATCTACGACGAATGCGCAGAATGCTCGTAGATCGACTGGGAATTCCATGTATCTCCGCAGATTCGACAAAAAAACTTATTTTGGGGTGAATCAACTCTGTGGTCGATCCCCTACTCGAATGATCGTCGTGCTTCTTCTCTCGATCTCCCCTCCTTCCCTCCTCCTCCTTTTCAGCGAGCACGACCCGTCGTCGAAACCTGCGTTGCATCAACCTCCTCCTTTTCCAGGGGCTCCGGGGCGCCAGTCTCCCGCCCACCGACAGCGCACGCCGCGCTTCAGCGACCACCTTCCCCCGCATCACGCTCATCACGCATTTGAGGGACGATTGGCCGCGACCAATTCACCTCCCCCCCAAAAAATCCCCCTTCTCTTCCTCCTCCTCCTCCTCCTCCTCCTCCTCCTCTCCTCCCTCTCCCCCTCCTCCCCCTCCTCCTCCTCCCCTCCTCCTCCTCCTCCTCATCCTCCTCCTCCTCCTCCCCCATCCCCCTCCTCATCTTCCTCCTCCTCCTCCTCCTACTCCTCCTCCTCCTCCTCCTCCACCTCCTCCTCCTCCTCCTCATCCTCCTCCCCCCTCCTCATCACCCCTCCCTACTTCCGTCCCCCGCTGCCCCCGCCTTCTCCTACACCCCCTCCCCCTCTCCTTCGCCTGTCAATGGGGGTCAGGTTTCTGGGGGCCAGGGTTAGCGAAGGATAAACTAAGGAACACACAAGTTCTGCGGAGCAGACTGGCCCGGGCGAGTAATTTCCATATGAGTTGCCACAGAAAAGCAACAGAATCTGTATCTCTTGTGAGACTACTGACACCCCGAACAAGGAAGACCCACGGAATCGAGCCCGCCTCTCCCTCACTCCCACGAGATTCGAAGACCGAGGGTTCCTACGCCACGGGAGTACATACACGTACACCCGCCGACGAATTTCGCCTGTGCCTTCAGGGAGGACGGTGGTTTATAACATCGCTCACTCTCAGGGGTGCTGCATACATCGCCACCCTCTCATGAGGCCCAGGAAACATCCGTTGGGGTGTGCCTATATGTTTGCAATCTGAGACCCTGCGACCCCCGCCCTCTTAAAGAGGACCCCCCCAGATTCCTGGCCCCGGCGGCCCCCAGGACGCACCTGCAGAAGCTTCCACGGGATTTTGGGGAGCTTCTGGGAGCCCATTGCTGGGAGCAGGCAGCGGACCCAAGTCGGCTAGGAGGGCATCCGAACGACCCCCCGAGCGCCCCAAGAGGCCCCAACACCCACCAGACGCCCGGAGACGACCCAAAGAACACCCCAATATTCTTTCGGAATGCAGGCAAAAGTTGATTCCCAATGGTTTTGCATGGTTTGGGGAATGCTCTGATCTTCGCTCTTCCAGGCGTCCGAGACTGCCGAAGAGACCCGACAATCATGCCAAAACTATCCGAAAGGCACGAGACCCCCAAGACGGCCCAACAGGGCTCCAGGATGACCCGAAAGGGCCCCATGACGGCCCGAGATGGCCCCAAGACGCCCCCCAGAAGTATTCCAAATCGTGACTCGGTCGCTCTGGGAGGCCGCAGTTGGAAGCAGGGTGGCCCGAGGAAACCCCAGGAGGCACACAGAAGGAGCCTAGGAGGCCACCAGAAGGCCCCAAGAAACTATGTAAAGCTTTCGTGATGCCCCCTAAGAAGCCCTCCAAGGAGGAGCCTGCGCAAAAAGAGTAGAGGAAGATGGGGAAGAATTCGCAGCGGGAGGGCGAGAATGAGAAAGAGAGACTGAGAGGACACATGAGGGATGGATAACGCATTGTATCAGTGTGAAGATGATGACGGACAAGGCAACGAGGAGTTATCGCTAGTCTTTCTGCCTTATCTTCCTGCCCGTCCGGCGCGACTTCCGCCTGCATGCCAAACGACAAGGACCAGGGTTCTCGGCGCGAAGCGCCAATGTAGTGCTGTATGCGTGCGTAGACATGTCCATACGTATCCATATAAGAATGTACACGTGTACGCATATACATATGTATGCATATATGCATGTATGCATGCTTAGTTGCATGTACGCATGTGTATATGTATGCATGTATATGTATGTGTATGTGTATATGTATATGTATATGTAGATGTATATGTATATGTATATGTATGTGTATATGTATATGTATGTATGCATGCATGTATGTATGTATGTATATTTGTATGTGTGTATATGTGTATGTGTGTATGTGTGTATGCTTGAACGCTTGTATGTTTGTATGTATAAGTGTAGTCATGTATGTATGTATGCATGTGCGTATGTATGAACGTATGCATGTATGTATGTGTGTATGTATGTATGTGTGTATACATGCATACATGTATGCATGTATGTATGTATACATGCATGTATGTATGCATACATGCACGTATGTATGTATGCACGTATGTGTGTATGCATGCACACATGTATGTATGCATGTATGCATGCATGTATGTATGTTATATATATATATATATATATGTATGTATGTATTTAGGTATGTGTATGTATGCATGTAGGTGTGCATGTCTGTGTGCATGTGTGTGCATGCGTGCACGTGTGCACGTGTGCACGTGGGCGTGTGGCGCAGCTCCACTCCTCAGACCGCCTCGGGCCCTGGCCCGGGCTCGGGCCTCGGCCTCGGGCTCGGGCGCGGCGGGCGGGCCGTCCGGCGCCGGGTCGTCCTCGGGCTCCTCCTCGGGAGGCCTCCTAGGATGGGCTCGGAGCACACGGGGGGTCGGAGGATCGCGCCGCATCGCCGATGCCTCGGCGATGCGCTGGCGGTGCACTGGCGATGCCCTGGCGGAGCACGGGCCATCGTCGGCGCGGCGAGGAAGGCGGGCTCCGCGCCGAGGCGCAGCGTCGGTGCATCCGCGAAGCGGCGCGATGCTTCGACCCCACCTGCTGCGACCCCATCTAGGAGGCCTAGGTCCTTGGCCTCGGCGAAGGTCTGCTTGGACCTCGGGCGGGCCGGAAGGGGCGTTGCTGCATGGGGGGGGGGGACGATGAAATGGTTGGGGGGGGTGCGAAGAGACGTGCACGCTTCGTGCCCCTCTTGGGCCCCAGAGGGCCCCTTTTAGGGCCCCCCTGCTTCCCCCCCCCCGCACATTTGTCACCCCCCCCCCTGCCCTTACGCGACGCCCGAGCCTGGAGAGGCAGACTCTTGTCTTGGGGCTGCGCCAGCTGCCCGTGGCCCGGCCCCTCCTGTGGCTCCATAGGAGGAAGCCGAGGGGCGCGGGCGCCCCGGGCTCGGTGCAGCGAGGTGGCCCGTCGAGGGGGGCCCGTCGAGGGGGGCCCGGGCGCCCGCGGGCGGGGGGCCAGGCAGGGCGTCCGAGGGGCGGGGCCCAGGGGAGGGCCGACGGAGGGGCCGGGCGGAGCCAGCGGAGCCAGCGGAGCCAGCGGAGCGGGAGGAGGACACGCGGCACGCGGGCCCCTGGCCCTGGCGCGGGGAGCGGCGACAGAGAGAGAGAGAGAGCGAGAGAGGAGGAGAGGAAGAGGAAGTGGGTGAGGGCGAGGAGGAACAGGGTGAGGGCGAGGAAGAGGGTGAGGGCGAGGAAGAGGGTGCGGACGAGGGCGAGGGGAAGACTCCAGGGTGTCTACGGTGGCCATCTGGGGGTTCGGGGCCGCTCGCGGCAGCTTCGGGGCCGTTTCGGGACTCCTGGGCTGCGTAGGGCTGAGGGGCTGGGTCCGCAGACGCCCAGGAAGGGGCGTCAAGGGGTGCAACCATTCTGCGCGCTTTCACCGCGCGCTTTCCCTTGACGCCCCCCCTTGACGCCCCCCCCCTTGACGCACTCCCTTGACGCACTCCCTCGACGCACCCCCTCGACGCACCCCTTTGACGCCCCCCCTTCATCGATGCCCCCCCTGACGCCCCCCTTGATGCACCACAAGAGTCCTTGGGCTTGGTTTGAGTTGGAGGGCCTCTCGGGGCCATCTGAGGGTATCTTGGGGCCAAGTTGAGGTGGTCTGGGCCGCCGTGGGGTCGTCTGGGGGCGGGCTCGGGAGCCATCGTGGCATATCTTGGGAGACTCCAGGGCCGTCTTGGGGCCTCGCAGGAGCCCTTCGGACACGCGTGGGGCAGCATCTGAGGCCTGTCTCGGCGACATCTGGAGCTGGAGAAAACAAGACGTCAAGCATGCACGAACACAACATGACTACACACACTTGTGACGCATCCAGGACTTTCCGTGAATCATCTTGGTGCCTACGAGTGTCCATACATCACCGTGACGAAAGTTTCTTTCAATTTGCCTTTTGGAATGACGCGCTCGTGCGGAGTAATTCGGAATAATTTTACTAAAACTACTCCGCGCGCAATCGCATCCCGCTCGATACTTTGTGTGGTTTGGCGCGGGGTAGTTTCCGATCCCGTTTTTGGGGAACAGAATTATTAACGTCTCCAGGATCGGAAACTACTACGCCGAATGATCCCAGCATCCTGTCATGCTCGGAATATTGAGAGGGATGGGACAGATCTTCATCATAACAAACTGAAGCAACTTTTGTCACGGCTGTGTATTGCGGCCTTATGACTATTCGGAAGGCCTCCCGCGAGAACAAAGGGCGGCACGGAGGCTCTCGGCTGGTTGGACTCGCCCACTGCAAGATCACACCAGGAGGCATCATGATACACGGTAGCTTGTTTCAAACCGTACCCCGTGGTCCACCCTCCTGCCTCCCTTCGCTCTATCCGTCCCTCCTTCGCTAATGCGGGATGACGATTAATAAAACATGGGAGAGAACGATTAAACAAAATAGCTCTCTGCCATTTCTGCATAACTTTCTGACTGGAGGAGATCGATTTAAAAAGATAGTTTTTCAGCCCGCGGCCGGTTTTTTCTAATCGTCATCCCGGGCGCCGCCGCGTGAACACGACCCCCGGTCATTTATTAATCGTCATCCTCCATTACATGGTAGTTTGTTTCAAATCGTACTCCGTCAATCCACCCTCCCGCCTCCCTTCGCTGCATCCGTCCCTCCTTCGTTACGTGCTCGACCATGGACCCATTTCGTGCCCCCACCAGCCCTGGGGCGGTCGTGTCGGCGGTCTCTGGTGGCCTCCTGGCGGCCTTCGGCCGTCTTCTCTGAAGCTCCTCGCGGCGGCCTTCGTCGGCTTTGCCGGCGGTGCTCGGCGCGCGAAAGAGCTGGGCAGCCGCGGCGAGCGAGGGGTCCATGAGCGAACGCCGAGAACCTCCGCTCCCTCCCCGTCGTGTCCTCTCACCCCCTCGACGGCCCGCCTGAAGCGCTTCGCGGGGCGCTGCAGCACCTCCAGCAGGCTGGGCTGGAGCCTGTCCGGCGGCTCCTGCTTGACGCCCCGCTCCGCCTTCACGCGCCTGTCCGCCTTCGCTCGCAGGAGTCGCCCGCCCTGCCAGGGTGCCTCCTCCTCCTCCGCCGTGCTCCTCGCCCCCCCCCCCCCCTTTCCCCCTCGTGCGTCTGCTCGTCTCTCTTCTTCTCCTCCGCTACCCCTCCAGCACGGATGGACGGCGGGTGGTTTTCAAGATTGCCTCTCGCCCTAGCGCCGCGCGCATTCGTCCTGAACGTTTCCACCATTGCACGGATGGGGGCGGCTGAGTGTCTGACCTACTCTCTCGCTTGAGACCTCGCACGGTAGGCATAGAGACGGCGAAGTGCGCAGCCACTTCACAGCTGGAGGGCGGGTCACTTTCAAACCGGGAGTACAGGTCGACACCTTGTACTCCTCACGAGCAGGTTAGAAGCTTTGAAACAGTGCGGACGGAGTGCGATTCCTTTTCGAAGCGAGCATCTTGCTGAATCTCTTGGCACCAAAAATGTGTAAACCATCAACAATCGACAAGTCCTTTGGCTGGATGAGAATATCAATGTTCGGAATGAGACTCGACTTGAGTGGCAGGCCCATGGTGCGCTCGTCGTTCAAGGGGGCGCTTCCCAATAATGCATGATGGGTACGGGCTGTGGCCGGAAGAGAGTATTGCAGCATCGCTGCTGCAATGTAGATTCACTATGGTCCACTTCCCTTCCCCAACAGTTTGTTGCTAACCTTCCTCCTCCCCGACTCCCCCCCCCCTCTTCTCCGCCCGTGCCCTCTCCCCCTCCTCCTCCTCCTCCTCCTCCTCCTCCTCCTCCTCCTCCTCCTCCTCCTTATCCTGCTCCTCCTCCTCCTCCTCCTCCTTCTCCTCGTCCTAATCCTACTCCTCCTCCTGAGCTTCCTCCTTCTCATATTTCCCCCCACCCCTCTTCCCATCATGCTACGAACCATGCGCCGTTGAGACACACATCGTCTGGGCCACGAGGGAAACACACCGATTGTCTTACAAACACATGTCAATGCGGCTGGTACCCTAAAACCTCTCGGAGGTTCCTTGTGCGTGCTTTCTTGACTTTACTCGGGTCGAGCCGCATGCGGGGAACACCTTTGCTCACGTCAAGCAGCGAACACAACCATAGTCTGGGGACAAAATGAAAGAACTGCTCGTGTTCAACGCCGCGTTCCAGGTGAACCAGAGCGAGGCGTCATAGAACCAAGTGACAAGAACTGCACCCGTGTCCTACCAGGCAGAGAACCCGAGACGAACGCAGAGGAGTGATGCGAAGATCACGCACGAGTCGAACGAATGGTGGAGGAGCGGATCAGCGAGGGAGCAACACGCACGACAGGAGGCAATCGATAACAATATAGATCACATAGAGGGCAGGTACGGGACCACGCAAGCCAGGATAGCAAGAACGCAGAGGAGTGCGAGGAAGGCACAGCAGAGCACAACACTACTATATGGCAATTCCTGACTTGTGCTGTCACTGCCACGCCGTGCCCCCCAGAGCTGGTACCGAATGTGAGATGCAACGCAGACTGCGACTCCATGAGATATTAAGACACTTCCCATTCGACTCAAGAACGACGGCCCCCGCACCCTCTTGCACGCCGCGCACCTCCGTCATACACTCCTCCAATTCCTCTCACCTCCCCGATCCGACCATTGCGTGCTTATGCTCAACGACTGACGGTTCCCGTCGTTCATCTTCACCTTCGTTTCGTCTCCACCCACGTTCGCCTACATCCCGCGTTGGCCAATCCAGGATTAGGTCGGGCCTGTCCCTCTACAGGGGATTTCGGACGATTTGTTTTAATGCCTAAAAATAATCAAACGATCCCCCCAAAATGCCCTAAAAATAGTCCCCAGACTCTTTTTTGACTGTTCTTGAACATTCCCCCCGTAGAGGGACAGACCCGACTCAAAAATCCAGGACGAGCCAGCGCCGCTGCGTCCACCTGCTCGGCCGCACGCGAGAGCGGCCGTGCGCCAAGGGTGCCTTCCGGTGCGCGGCGCTCGGGCGCCGCACGGGGAGGGGGGCCCGCATCCCAGCGCGCCGGCCAGTGCTGGCGGGGGGGGGACCTCGGCGGGCCCGCAACGGAGGTCCCTCTGGCGAGGGCCCACGCTCGTGAGGCTTTCTTTACTCGGCGTGTCGGCATTGGGCGGCAAGGGGTTAGGAGGCAACTGCTGGGAGGCTTTCGTCGGAAGAATGAAAAAGGATGAAGCCCCGTTGGGGGGCTGTTATGCCGGAGTGGGCCTCGGATTAAGCCGGATTCAGCGGGATTAAGCGGGATGAAGGATTAAGCCGGATTTCGGACCAGGGCAGAAACAGAATTTGACCTCCCAAGAATTGCATCGGAAAAGGGGGGGGGGTCTGGCTCCAGACCTCTGCTCAGTGCGACCGTCTGCAAGAGTGCGGCCTCTGGGGGAGGCTCCACCCGCTCGAAGCAGGCGCCAAGCCCAGCCAAGATCTACGCCATTGGGCGGGGGAGAGAGGGGGGGTCGGCGGCGCGCCGATCGGTAAAACAAGGACTCAAAAAAACACGATCATTTCACGCGCAGCCGATCTGCCGGGCCTTACCGCTCGCACTCTCTCCCGACGAGGTCTGCCCGGGCAGATCCGAGCCTGGGGATAGAGAGAGACCCGCGGCGCCGCAAGGGCCCCTTTGGGGGGGTGGGGGGGGGAGGAAGCGGCGGCGGTGGCCCTGCCGGTGGGGGGGGGGGAGGGGGATACATAATCAAAATTGATAGCAAGGAGGCGCGAAAGTGAACGTTTTCTTCTTCGGCGTTTCGACATGGGGCGGAAGAGGGGGGGGAGGGGGGGGGGGTCTGGCTCCGGACCTCTGCGTAAATGCGACTGTTCGGAACCGTGCGTCCTCTGGGGGGCGACTCTGACTACCTACCAGGCCACCCCACCCCAACCCGAAGACCCGAATTTCGGGTTGGGGGGGGTATGGGCTCCATATGTGTTTTTTCGATGTTCCCGGACCCCCCCCCCACTAGAAATCGAGGGTAAATCTGACCCTTCGGGTTGGGTTGGGGTGGTTTGGTGGGTGGTGAAACTCTACCTGCCTGAAACAGGCGCCCAAAACAGCCAAGTTCTACTCCATGGGGGGAGAGGGGGGGAGGGGGCGACGAGGGCTGGCGCCGATCGGCGAAACAAGGAACGAACAAACGCCCACATACGGATGCAAGCCACTTGGACGCGCATGTCGAAGCTTCTCTAAGGGGGCTGGCCATCGAAAGTGGTCAAGGATGGACCGAAGAGGCAAGGATACATATCATCGGTTTGGACTGCATGGGCTTCCGCATCTGCCGCTGCCTGCGTCCAGTCGTCGCCCCCGAGATGCAGGCCCAGGGGCCCCCGCGAGCCGTCCGAGGAGACCCCAAGAAGCACCCTTGAGGACTCTTGCCCACGCCAGCGTCGTCGTCGTCGTCGCTGCCGCCGCCATTTTCGTCGTCGTCTCCCTTCAGGGTCGTCGGCACCGGCCGCAAAGCCCTTCGCTATCATTACCGTCACCACCAAATCCACAGCAGCATGTCCAACACCATGCCCGACATCCGCATCATCGCAAGAGGAAGGGCACGCGTCAATGTTGAATATTCTCCTGCGTGCGGATACGGACACTTGAAATCTACTGTGGGTACGGTACGCCTCTTGACAGCCATTTGAATGCAAACAATGACTAGTTCGCTGGAGCTGGAATATAAATAGCTTTGCCAAAGTAGGATTGGGAAATCGGGCCGAATCGATCAAACAATTGACGATTGTCGTGCACATCAACATCTGATTTGCAGATGCGATGTCTGTATCGCCTTCCTCGGCTAAACAAACTGTCCGCATCCAGTGGCAACGAGACAGAAACATATTGAAACAACAGCAAGTAAGGCATACGTACAATCCAAAACCCAATCACTGTGAAATTCTCATGTTGATGCTGGTGTTTGTTTCCTGCCGTGTACCGAAACGTGCGAGGCTGGATATTTCTTCCCCTCACAAGTTTCCGGCTCAACACCGTCAATTATTGAAGAAGGTACGGTGACTTGATCTGCTGGAAACGCCCCGTTCGAAGCAACTCCAATAATGCACCAGCATGAGGAACGGTGCAACATGCCCCCACATGATCACGACGTGAGTGACAACTCTGCACTTCGAATCGGACTGTTGGCACATGCTTGATGGAACCCCAAAATTTGTGGTAAAGAAATAACCGCGATGTTCGAGCGGCGACGCTGACCATGATGAATACGACTATGCATGACAACGAAGACGGCGCAAACGAGATGGTGATGATGGCCACGGAACGGCAGGGGGCGGGGTCAACCCGCAACATATCAGAAAAGCTCGGAGTGGACGCGGCGTGCGGCGCAGACGCAAGTGTTGCGCGCGGCGCTGTTGGCGCTGATGATGCTGATGACGACTGTGGGCGCGAAGGAAAGAGCGACAAGGACGATGATACTTGCATGAACTATGCTTTCGGAGGGCACGCATCTATATGACTCTTCTTTCGGGAAGCGATCGCCAAAAAGTGAAATTGACAGTGTGTTTCTGTGTATGTGCGTGCGTTTGCGTGCGTGCGTGCGTGCGTGCGTGCGTGCGTGCGTGCGTGCGTGCGTGCGTGCGTGCGTGCGTGCGTGCGTGCGTGCGTGCGTGCGTGCGTGCGTGTGTGTGTGTGTGTGTGTGTGTGTGTGTGTGTGTGTGTGTGTGTGTGTGTGTGTGTGTGTGTGTGTGTGTGCGTGCGTGCGTGCGTGCGTGCGTGCGTGCGTGCGTGCGTGCGTGCGTGCGTGCGTGCGTTTGCGTGTGTGTGTATGTGGGGGTGACTTGCTCCGCCTCGTCGCTGCGCGTGAGGCCGCGGCCGCCAAAAAGGGTGTGTGTGTGTGTGTGTGTCCACGAGCCTTGGCCTAGACGCTCAGTGGTCACATACGACCTTGATTCAGGCCTCCATGCTTGTCCACGCTCTCACACCACATGGCAATCTAGTTTCTTTGAACGCGCCCGCCTTTCTTCACCTTGCCCCACCGTCGTCTGCCACCTATCGGCGCGCCAAAAGAAACAATGCGCGGGCGCGTCAGCGTGTGTGTGTGTGTGTGTGCGTTTGTGCGTGCGTGCGTGCGTGCGTGCGTGTCTGTGCAGGGCCGCGCGACCGCCTCGCCGCTCCCACCCGGTGCTGCCGCCCTCTCTCGCTGCCATCTACTTTTTTGCGCGCCTTCCGCCCGACCCCACTTGGCCCCGACCGCTGTGCCGACTCGCGCTCTCTCCTTCCGGCCGCCCTGGCCTTGCTGCGCGCCTCGCGTGGGCGCTGCACCTCGGCGCGGCTCCATGCGATCCGCAGGGCGGCCCTCAGTCAGCGAGCGAAGAACGGTATAAAATAAACTTTTTCGCCGTCGGGGACACCTGCCCCTGGGCGGCTGGAAAGTTTATACCCCTACGGTGCCCAGGGGCAGGTGTCCCCGACGGCGAAAAAAGTTTATGTTATACCGTTCTTCGCCCGTTAACTCAGCGTCGATCCCGTGTCGCCCCCGCGGCCCGCGTCCGGCGGTGCTCCCCTCTCGGCGCCCGTGCCTCCCCCGACCAACCCCAGCTGCACGGTTTCCCCCGGGGCCGTAGGCGACCCGAGGAGGAGAAGGAGGAGGAAGAGGAGGAGGAGGAGGAGGAGGAGGAGGAGGAGGAGGGGAAGGGGGAGAAAGGAGGGGGGAGGGACCTCGGAGGAGGAGATGGAGGAGGAGGGGGAGGAGAGGAGGAGGAGGAGGAGGAGGAGGAGGAGGAGGAAGAGGAGGAGGAGGAGGAGGAGGAAGAGGAGGACGACGAGTCGCCTAAGCCCTTCGGAGAAACCCTCCAAACCCAGCCTCTCGCGGCGTGCCCGGCGCCCGCCCCCGGCCTTCCGGGGCCGCCGTGGCCGGCCTGCCGGTCGGGCCCCGCCCCTTTGGGTTCTCCCTCGAGTGCCCCGCCCCGCCAGGAGGAGGAGGAGGAGGAGGAGAAGGAGGAGGAGGAGGAGGAGTCTTCCTCTCCTCCTCCTCCTAAGACCTCCTCCGCTCCTCTCCTCCTAATTTCCTCCTCCTCCCTCCTCCTAAGACCTTCCTCCTCCTCTTCCTCCTCCTCCTCCTCCTCCTAAGACCTCCTCCTCCTCCTCCTCCTCCTCCTCCCGGCCTGCTGGTCTTTCCAGCCCGCCGCGGGCTTCTCGGCCCCCGCCGCCCGCCCCGCGCCCCTGCCGAGGCCCCCGCCGCCGCCGGACCGACGCGGGCGTGGCTCGCGGCGCCCACCCGCGCCGCCCGGTGCGCCCGCCTCCGCGGCCGGCGTCGCCCCGCTGCTGCTCCCCGCCTCCGCTGCCCGCTCGCCCGCGGTTTGCCTTCCGCGCTGCCGCCCGCTGCTGCGCCGCGATCCGGCGCCGCTCCCGGCGCCACTGCCCCGCGAGGGGCCGGGCGCCCCTCGCCGTCTTCGGGCCACTGCGCGCCGCAGAGACCGAAAAGTAAGTGTGTGTGCGTGCGTGCGTGCGTGCGTGCGTGCGTGTGTGTGTGTGTGTGTGTGTGTGTGTGTGACTGTGTGTGTGTGTGTGTGCGTGCGTGCGTGCGTGCGTGCGTGCGTGCGTGCGTGCGTGCGTGCGTGCGTCGTGCGTGCGTGCGTGCGTGCGTGCGTGCGTGCGTGTGTTTGTGTGTGTGTGCGTGTCCTTATGGCGGATCCTAGTCCCCGCACCGCGTGACCTGGATAGGCCGCGTGCGGCTCGTTGCCCGACTTTCTACGCCTCGACGCTGTGCGCGGGGCCGCGGCGCCAAATAGGATGCGTGCGCGCGTGTGTGTGTGTGTGTATGTGTATGTGTGTATGTGTGTATGTGAGTATATGTGGATGTGTATGTATGTATGCATGTATGTTTGTATGTATGTACGTGTATGTATGCATGTATGTATGCATGCATGCATGTATGTCTGTTTGTATGCATGCATGCATGTATGTATGTATATATGAATGCATGCATGGATGTATGGATGTGTGTGTATGTATGTATGTATGCATGCATGCATGTATTTATGTGTGCATGTGTGTATGTATGCATGTATGCATGTAAATAGGTATGTATGTATGTATGTATGTATGTATGTATGTATGTATGTATGTATGTATGTATGTATGTATGTCGGCGGTGCCCGGTGCGGAGCGACCCCCCCCCCCCAGTAATCTCTCCTGGGGGGGTTCGAGCTGGCGCCATTCCCGGTGCGAGCCTGCACGAAACCCCCCGGTAAACACGACCTCCTCTGGTAGGCTGCACGAACCCCCCCGGTAAGGACGCAATCCCTCCGTAAGCGGCGCGCTCCCAGCACGCGCGAAACCCAGCCCCGACGCGCGAATCTTACCAGGACGGGCCGGAACACGGCGGCGGCATTGCATCCCAGGGCCGTGCCGGAACACGGCGGCACTGTTCTTCTCTACGCGGCCGTGCCGTCGACCCCCCACAGCGGCTCTCGGGAGTTGCGCCGCAGCCTCTCGTATTGTGGCCACGAGCCACAATACGAGAGGCTGCGGCGGAACAAAGGCGAGCAGACGCGAATAGAGAACACAAGGCGAGCACACGCCACACTTCGACAGGGAGCCACCCTTCCCAACCGCCCCCCTGCCCCCCCCCCAACCCACCCCCCACTCCCACCCCCCCACTCCCACAGGGGGGGGGGGAGCCCAGGTAGACGCAGTGCGGCCTGCACGAACCCCCCCGGTAAAGCGGCAAGGGGGGGGTGTTCTAAGCCGCTGGCGGCACCCGGTGCGGGCTGCACGAAACCCCCCGGTAGTGCACGAAACCCCCCGGTAGTGCTGGGGGGGGGGTTCGTGCCACGGCGCACAGCCGACATGTATGTATGTATGTATGTATGTATGTATGTATGTATGTATGTATGTATGTATGTATGTGTGTGTGTATGTATGTATGTATGGTTTGTATGTATGTATGGTTTGTATGTATGTATGTATGTATGTATGTATGTATGTATGGATGTGTGTGTATGTATGTATGTATGTATGTATGTATGTATGTATGTATGTATGTATGTATGTATGTATGTATGTATGTGTGTATGTATGTCTATATGTACGTATGTGTGTAGGTATGTTTGTGTGTAGGTATGTATGTGTGTATGTATGTATGTATGTAGGTAGGTAGGTAGGTAGGTAGGAAGGTGTGTATGTATGTATGTACATATGTGTGTGTATGTATGTATGTAGGTAGGTAGATAGGTATGTATGTATGTATGTATGTATGCATGTATGTGTATGTGTGTGTTTATGTATGTATGTGTGTATGTGTGTAGGGGCGCGTATCCTCGCAGCACAGGCCTTGCCAGTAGACATTGCACCCCCGCCGCCCAGCGGCTGAGTGAGGGCTCGGCGCGGTTCCCGCGCTCTGCCTGCCTGACTCCGCTGCATCGCCGTGGGCACCGCCGCAGCGGCAAATAACGGTGTGTGCACGTTCACAGACGGGGGAGCCAGCTCGCCGCGGCGTCGGAGGGTCAGACGCATGCGTTTGCGTGGATGCGTGTGCGTGTGCGCGTGTGCGTTTGTGCGTTTGCGCGTGTTTGATCGTGTGCACGCGGGCCGAGAACAGCACAACACAACACAACAAGAACCCGTCTCCTGCCATCAGTGCGTCGCACTCGGCACGTTGCACCCGGCAGGCTGGAGCGCGCTCCAGAAGGCTTCTGCAGTCTTCCAGATTCCACCGATTCCACCGACACCAACCCCCCTTGACAGCGCACGTCACCCCGCCCCCGCTAAACGAAGATTCCGACCACTCCTACCAAGAAACTGGAACACACACACACACACACACACACACACACACGGCTGGACTCACACGTTGAAAATCCAGAATACACGCGTGAGATACACATGCGGAAGCCTGGCGTACCTGGCCGCAGAAAAATGGCGCGACAAAATGATATCCGTCCACGTGTGTGTTCAGCCCTCGCCCAGGCCAGCCACGCCATGTGAACACAGCTTCTTCTTGCGAAGAAGTACTACTACTGTTTCTTAGCGCCAGGAAGCTGCGTACACATGCATTGGGTGCTCTTAGTAAGAGCACCCATTCAATGTTGCCCGATCGTCTTGGGCCACCCCATACAACGCCGCAATAGCTTCCAGGTGGCTCCAGGAAGATCCAGGAGACACCAGGATGCGAGCACAAGGAACCCCGGAATGCCCCAGCCATGATGCCGCAGGAGATCCGAGGAATCCCACGAGAACCAAAGAGGTCCCAAGGGGGCCCAGAAAGCCGCAAATGCCATGGGATGGTTGAAAGAGGAGGAGGAGGAGGAGGAGGAGGAGGAGGAGGAGGAGGAGGAGGAGGTGGGAGGAGGAGGAGGAGGAGGGGCAGGAAGAGGAGAAAGACGTAGGAGGCGGAGGAACAAGAGGAGAAGAAGGAGGGGGAGGGCCAGCGTCGGAACGAGAGGAGGAGGAGGCGGAGGGCGAGAACGAGGACGAGGACGACAGCGACGACGACGGGCCTCGCGCGACGTCGCCTCCCTGACGGCGGCCTTCAGCCTCTCCGGGCACTCCCGCGCCAGGTCCGAGTGGCCCCCGCCTGCCGGCGAGCGCCCAGAAGGGGAGGGGGGGTGGGGGGCCGGGCGAGCAGAGGGCGGGCCTCGCGACATGGCGCAGCCAGAAGAGCGGGAAGGCCTCCTGGGCGAGGGGGGGGAGGAGGAGGAGGAGGAGGAGGAGGAGGAGAGGGAGGAGGGAGGAGGGAGGAGGAGGGAGGAGGAGGAGGAGGAGGAGGAGGAGGAGGAGAGAGGAGGAGGAGGAGGAGGCAGGAGCAGGAGCAGGAGCAGGAGGAGGAGAGAGGAGGTGCCGAAGAAACCAGGAGGGCATTCCGTAGAGGGAAGAAAACGCCATAAACATAAACTGTTGGCGCTCCGCGCGGATTTCTCGGGGATCTGCGCTGGCCCCTCCCTGGCGCGCGGAGCGCGCCAGGGACGGCGCCAGAGGCGCCGCCGGGGGGGCACCAGCGCCGATCCAAGAAATCCGCAGGGAGCGCCAAAAGTTGTTATGTTTATGGCATTTGTCTTCTTCGATTCTTGGGCGAGCCCTGACACCCCCTCCCCTGGCGCGCAAGGCGCGCCAGGGGCCGCTCGCAGCAGGTGCCGCCAGGGGTGGGGTGGGGTGGGGGGGGGGGGGGCAGCGCCGACCCGAGAAGCTCTGTGCGCGGGTCTCTGCGAGCTTGTGCGCATGGCGTGTCTTGCTCCCTGCGTGTGCGTGGGTGGGGGACACCACGAGGCATTCTGGAGGTAGGAAAGGGGTGTGGTATAAAGGTGTGTGGTGTTAGCTCTAGGTACAGGGGACTCAGGCGATGTTATCTATCGCAGATAGCATCGCCAGTTCCACGATTGGCACCATACCCTTTTATGCCACTCCCCTTTCCGACCTCCAGAGGTATACCGATGCCGCTGCTCCCCGGACCTCTCCCCGGGGGTGCGCGCTGATCAGAACTTCGAGGCGAGAACCCGGCGCTGGCGACGAGGGCCTCCCAGGAGGCCCAAACAGGGGAAAACGAGGGAAGGGTATGGGAGAAGAGAAACGCCATAAACATAAACTGTTGGCGCTCCGCGCGGATTTCTTGGATCTGCGCTGGACCCCCCTCCCTGGCGCGCGGAACGCGCCAGGGGCGGCGCCAGAGGCGCCGCCCGGGGGGCCCAGCGCGGATCCAAGAAATCCGCACGAAGCGCCAAAACTTTGCCTATGGCGTTTTCTCTTCGAGGGTAACAGTACAGGCCTTGGAAGAAATCAGCGAACGCTCATGCCGCATTCACCTACCAACTCCCCACCCCCCTAAAGATCAATGTCGGCGGTGGGTTGGATGAGCTGCGTGACGACCGCGGTCTTCCCCGTGCGTGCCAGCTTTGAAAGTTGGGGAGCCTCCTCCTTCTCCTCCTCCTCCTCTTCCTCCTCCCCCTCCTCCCCCTCCTCGGGGGAGTGTCCACTACGTGTTTCCCTCTGCCGTACTCCTCGGAAGCGAAGCCGCGGCCCCTTCGCCCCTGCCATGGCCCCTTCGCCCGCGGGCGCTCCGCCGGAAGGGCTTCCTCCCCCTGGCCAACAGGCGCCTCCCGGAGGGGGGAGGCGCCTGGCGGCCTCCCAGAAAGGGGAGCAGACACACTGACAGGAGCGACAGAGAAAAACACACACACTCCCAATCTCAGGAGGAGGAGGAGGAGGAAGAGGAGGAGGAGGAGGAGGAGGAGGAAGAGGAGGAGGGGAATGAGGACGACGAGGACGAGGACGAGGAGGAGGAGGAGGCGGAGGAGGAGGAGGAGGAGGAGGAGGAGGAGCAACGCGTATTCACCCAGGACTCGAAAATCATCCGAAAAGATTTCGGAGCATGGTTTGTGCTCGTCGATTTCCACCTGGAAAAGCCCTACCCCGAAACCTCCCTACCTGAAGTCTCGAGGAGCCCGCGCTCTGTTTTGATCCTCGCGTGTTCGGGATTGGGTGTCTGTTTTGAGTCGGCGATGAAACATGGAGTTTCGGGGTCCGCGACCCCTGGCGGCGCCTTCGGCGCCGCTCCTGGCGCGCTCCGCGCGCCAGGGAGGGGGATCCAGCGCCGATCCGAGAACTCCGCGCGGAGCTGCGACAGTTCACGCGTATGTCATCGTGTTGTTTTAGGTCGGCCATATCCCCCTACAGGCGGACTTTGGACGAACACTCAAAAACGCAGAACCTATATTCGAAAAGAGTCAGGCAAGCCGAGGCCCGGTCAAACCGAAAGGCTGTCCGTGAACGGGCGGGGCACGACATGGAAAAATGAGAACAGTGCGACCTGCAAGCATGATGTGAAGGACGTGCAAAATAGTAGCAATAAGAAAAAACGTCCCCCGGACTATTCTTTTAGGGGAAGGGAACAAAAAAGGACATAAACATAAAAACTCGGAAGTCCGCGCGGATTTCTCGGATCGGCGCTGGACCCCCCTCCCTGGCGCGCGGAGCGCGCCAGGAACGGCGCCGGAGGCGCCGCCGAGGGGGCCCCAGCGTGGATCCGAGAAATCCGCGCGGACCTCCGAGTTGCTATGTTTATGTCACTTTTCATTCCCCTATCTTTGGACCCTTTGGGAATGCTCCTCCTCGTGGAGGGACCTGCCCGCCCGAAGCGCACGGCATCGGCCGTGCCGCGGCGCCACGAGGCGCACCGCCACCGGGCGCAGAGGACCCCCAATTGGGGCTCCTAAAAAAGATGGCGCGAAGCTCTGACGGTGGAGGAGGAGGAGGAGGAGGAGGAGGAGGAGGAGGAGGAGGAGGAGGAGGAGGAGGAGAGGAGAGGAGAGGAACGCGGGGCGCTTTCTTCAAAACGAGGACCCAACACCACAGGATGGTTGGGAAAAGATGGCGCGAACCTCTGGGGGGGCACCTTGGGCCAAGCCCACGTCGACCATCCTCCTGAATATATATTAATATATATATGTATATATATATATATATATATAGAGGGCAGAACTCCACCCCCACAAGAACCAACCCGACACGCGAAGCCGTGCAGTAAACGCACTCAGAGAGGCAATCAAGCAGGGCAGGGCTGCTCAGTAAACGCCCAGGGCCGTTCACTTGGTAAACGCCAGTTGTCGGGTCCGGGTGGTTTTTGCTCCCTTGGCTGAAGAACAACTGCGCGGATCGGTCAAGCAGCCCCAGGCCGCATCCATCCAAAGCTTGCCTCTGGCGGGGCAGCTGCCGCGCGACGTGGGCTTTGACGCACCGTTGGCCAGCGCAGCCCCAGGCTTTGATGGCCCCCTGACCACGCAGCCCTACGAAGACTCCGATGCGAAACCGAAGCGTTCCCAGAAACCCATGGCCACCTTCGTCAAGTTTTTGGTGTGGGAGCGCGCTATCAACACCCCACCTTCGGTAGCAACCCATGGGAGCCTCCCGCGCCATCTTGCTGATTCTTGCGAGTCGACGCTGACAAACGCTAACCGACGCAAGGTCGACACTACTCCACGCCAGCCGATGCTCAGCGAGGCTAAATCGGCGCTTTCTCATCGACTACCAGACGCCAGCGCACGTAAATGCGCTCTCGAGGCAGAATTGCTAGGCCAGACGGGGCTCTTGGCGGCGCGCACAAGGGGGTAGGGGGAGGGGGAAGGCTTCTTAGAAGGAGGCTGCTTCTTAGAAGGCGCCGGCCTCACATCTATAGATGAGGCCCGCGCCTTCTAAGAAGCAGGGGTGCTTCTAAGAAGCCCTCCCCCCTCCCCCCACCCCCCTCTGCGCGTGGCTGAGGCTCCCATGACTTGCCACCGAACCCACCGTTCTGCGTGCCGCCCCGCCTGGATCCCACACCCCGTGGGGCCGCGACGCGGGCTCGGCGTGCTGCCTCGTCGGGCGCGAGAGTAATGGGGGGGGCGAGCGACGGAGCGGAGGAGAACGATGCCCTGCTCGGGCCCTCAAAAGGCCCCCTTCCTGGCCCGACGGGGCCCCTTTCGGGGCCCCAAAGGGCCCCATAAAGGGGCTCCTTAAAAGGGGCCCTTTAGGGGCCCCTGTTGGCCGACAGGGGCCCCTAAAGGCCTGTTGGCCGACAGGGGCCCCAAAGGGCCCCTGAAGGGTCCCCTAAAGGGGCCGCTAAAGGAGCCCTCGCTGACCCCACTGCCGCCCCCCCCCCCCCCATTCCGCGCCCTCGAACTCGCCATCGCTCGGACGTCCACTTCCCGTGTATGCTTCGACCTCGTGGGTGCGCTTTTTTCTCTCTGACAACGAACCAGGAGGCCCCACGGGGGCCCTCGCCGAGGCACAAAATGCACACGCCCGAGCGATGCCGAGCCAGTGCCTGCCTGCAGAAGGGCGTCTCGCCGCACAGCCGCCGCGGGCACTGCTTCAGCACGGGCAGCGCCCGGTCGCCGCGCCACACGCGCGCGGCGCAGCGGCCCGCCTGCAGGGGCGCCGCGTCCAACAGGAGGCCCGGCAGGCTCGTGCCGGCGAGCTCGTGCCCCACGGGCACGTTCACCCGCACGCCTTGGGTCGGGGATGTGCTCCAGCCAAAAATAGAGGCTTGTCAAACAACAGTCAAACACATGCAAAAACAGTCAACAAAAATCGTCCTCCAGGAAAAATAAAGACTTGTCAAACAACATTCAAACAGATGCAAAAATGGTCCACAAAAATCGTCCCCAGACTATGTTTCGGCTGCGTTTCAAACTTCCTCCCGTAGAGGGACATGCCCGACTTCGCGCACGCCTCCGCTGTCCAGGTCGACCCCGTGCGGAGGCTCGGCCGCCGACCCGGCGTCGCCCCCCGGCGCCGCCGGCGCCTCCGCCGCGGCCTCCGCCGCGGCCTCCGCCGGGGGGGCGGAGGCGGGGGAGGGGCTGCGAGGGCGGCGGGGAGGCGGGGGGTGTTGGGAACCCCCAAACCGGGTGGTGAGATACCAGGTGGTGACCTCGAACCCCCCAAAAGGTCACCGCTGGGTTTGGGGACGCGGGGTCACCACCGGGTTTGTGACTCCTGGACCCCACCAGTGTCCGGGACATCCTCGGAAAACCGCACGAGTCCCCAAACCGGGTGGTGACGCCAAATCGCCCGAGACTCACCGCCAGGTGTTGTCACCACCACGTTTGGGGACTACCAAGGGTGGGGGCGAGGGCGGAGGCCGGGCCGGGGAACGGATCGGCGCCTGGGGCGGAGAGGCCGCGAGCCGGAGGAGCTCACGAACAGCTGCGCCCGCGAGGCCACCCTGCCCTCCCCCGCGGCCGCTCTCCTCTGCCCGCCCCACTCCCGCTCCCTGGCGCGCCGCAGCATGCTCGGGCTTGCGGCGGCGGGTCCCTCGCCATCGCTCGGACGTCCATTTCCCGTGCATTTTTCGGTTTCGTGCGTGTTTCTTTTGCTCGATGGTCCAGGATGGTCATGGATGGTCCTCGCCGAGAAAGAAATGCACACGGCTTCTGGCCCTCGCTCGGACGTCCATTTCCCGTGCATTTTTCGGTTTCGTGCGTGTTTTCTTCGCCAAATGATCAAGGATGCTCCTCGATGGTCCTCGCCGAAAGAAAAATGTAAACGTCGGAGCGATGCCAAGGCTGTGAGTTTTTGATTTCGCGCGTGTTTTTTTCGCCAAATGATCAAGGATGCTCCTCGACGGTCCTCGCCGAAGGAAACATGCACACGTCGGAGCGATGCCAAGGCTTGCGGCGGCCGGTCCTGCGCGTGCTTGCACGCGTTGCTCCACAACGCACGCGCCGTGCGCGCAGGCGCGCAACGAGCGCTCGCCTGGGCCACCCAGGCGCCTCCGGTCTGAGCCGGCTCGGCAGGCGAAGGCTCCTCATGCGCTCTCCCCCTTCCTCTTGCCGTCGCTCGGGCGTGCACCCCCCGTGCGCGTGTTCCGGCTCCGCGCGTGCCGCCTTCGCCAGAGGATCTCTCCAGGATATGCTCCTCGAGGGCCCCCGCCGAGGAAAAAACAAAACGCGCACGCAGGATTGCAAAAAAACCAAGGATTGCAAAAAAAACCTTCGTCCAAGGGTTTTTTTGCAATCCTTCGGTTTTTTTGCAATCCTTCGTCCGAGCGACGCCACGCTCTGCCATATGCCCGTGGCCTTCTCGGCGACGGCGTCGCCGCTGCCCGCTCTCGCCCAGGCGAGCGACCGACGGCCCGAGGTCGGGCCCGAGAGGTCGGAGGTCGGCCGCTCTCGACGGGGAGCCCGCGGCGCCGTGCCCGCTCGAGAGAGCTCTCCAGGCCGCCCCCCAAGACGCCCTCCAGGAGGCCCTCGAGAGGTCTTACCAGCCTGGAGCATATCCCACCAGCCCTCTGGGCCTCGGTGGTTTAAGGAGTTTCCTCTTCCACTCCTCCCTCGTCCCCGGCCCCGTGCCCGATCGAGAGAGCTCCAGGCCGCCCCCAAGACGCTCTCCAGGAGGCCCTCGAGAGGTCTCAATACCAGCCTGGAACAGATATTCCTATCTCTATGCTGGGCATCTCCTCATCACGATGCCAGTCTTAGGGATTCCCTTCTTTTTTGAGGTCGAATCCCTAAGATTGTCACGA